CAAAAATTCATAACTTTCGCATACGAGCTCTGTTTTTGACGTTCTTTATATCTACGCGTAGGTGAGATTATGCTCTACAACTTTCATTTAGACTCTGTTGGCAAATTTTGACTTTATTTTTATTATATTATTTTTAGTAGGCCGGGACAGGAAAACTCCGTTATAAATTCATAACTTCTTCATCCGACGTCTGTTTTCGCCTATCTTTTTATCGTTTCACTACAATTGATGAGATCTTCGATTCTCGTTTAGATTGTTTTGGCTAAAAACCGTTCGATCTCAAATCGAGTATTCGGGCTGCATACTGTTAAGTCGAACTCTACGACTTTTGGACGTTCTTTTTATGCACGCTCATGTTTTAACGAACTCTACGACTTTTGTTTAGATTGCTAAGGCTAAATATCACTCTAACGTAAATTCACTTTTTACATCATTCAGCATCGTGTCGGTTCTGTCGTGAAACTTCGACAGGTCATAACTTCTTCGTTATAACTCGGATTTCGGCGTTCTTTATATGCACAGAAACCTTGTAACATATACTATAACTTAGTTAAGATTATTCATTCTAAATAATCTTTCATCAAAAATTCATTTTTGACATCTATCGTCTCTAAATTGACTAACCCTGATCTATGGGAGTTACACTAACACCCTGCTAAATTATTATTGATTTTGGGACCAATTGAAATCATAATCAATTACATCTCGATGTTTAGAGTTTATTATCGAAATGGGTGTTACAACGTGGCATATATGTGGCAACAATAATTACCCATGAGGGTAATGAACTATTGGTTTTTTTCACATCTAGGCATTTTTTTGTTCATATTCGACCATCCAACTTGTTGAAGTTGTTCACATAATACCATTATTTTAGAAATTTAAATCGGTAGTTGAAATCATTCGCCCAACTTGTTGAAGTTGTTCATATAATACCATTATTTTCTGAAATCGAGACACTTGGTTCGATCTGACACAAGAACACCATTTGTTCTTAGCGTGATTCGAACCAGACGATTAAACTTTTGTTTTACAATTATTATCCATTTTGCTGGGACTGGGAGCCAACTGAGGTTTCTGACTTTGGTCTTTCGTAACAAATCTAGCCAACCTAAAATCATAAAGGTAGGGTTGTAGGTTTGGACATAATACCACATTAATGGCTTTCATATCTCCATGTAAAATAACGAGCACGCAGGTTTCTGACTTTGGTCTTTCGTAACAAATCTAACCAACCTAAAATCATAAAGGTAGGGTTGTAGGTTTGGACATAATACCACTTTAATGGCTTTCATATATCCATGTAAAATAACGAGCACGCAGTCATGACGTTGATACGCAAGAGCATGAGTCATGCCTAGTATAACCACGTACCTAGTCTCCCACTTTGCTCCTCGTTTTCCAATGCCTGCACCATGGAGGAGCAATCTCAAACTTCCATTAGGATAATAATCGTAAAACGGAAGTTTAATCATCCGATTCGAGCCCCACCCTAAAAAACAAACAATGGTCTTGTGTCAAATTGAACCAAGTATCTCGATTTCATAAATAATTGTATTATATGAACAAAAAAAGAAATTGTCTAGATTGAACAAAAAAATGTTTAAATGCGAAGAAAATCAATAGTTCATTACCCTCCTGGATAATTATCTTTGCCACGTATATGGCATGTATACATCACGTAAGCTTTAACTTGTTATAGTCGGTAATAATAATGATATATGAACATTTCCCACAAGTTTGTTGTCTACATATACACAAAAAAATACTCAAATATGAAATAAACAAAAAATAATTACCATGATAAATCAATTTGTCTTTATGTTTTCTTCCTCGATTTCTCATTTTCTTGTTCCCAATCTTTCTTTCTTCAAATTCCTTTTCGGCTGTCTAATATAAATTCAAACCAAGCACATAAAAAAGAAAAAGAAGGCAAGTGAATGATAAGAGGTTACCCTCGTCTACCACTGTCATCTCATCCCCTTGGATTGAAGGTGCCATCACGATTGTTTTTCCTATTGCCTAAAGAAGCCAACAACTGTAAAGTTCATTGAGAACCCTTTCATTTTAATGCTCAAGCCAATATTGATAAAATTAATCTTACGTATACAGGTTTTTTTGTCGTTATTTGTTACTTGTAACGAAATTTTAACTCAACGATGATTAAAAAAAAAAAAAACACTTAATAGAAGTTTATATAAGGGAGACAATAAGGGCCACCAAACACATCTGAGATTGAGAAACATCATTAACCATGTGATACATTGTAGGCTTTGCAGATATTGCATCAGTTTTCACACATTCTTGGTAGATATCACACCCAAGAGGGGCCTCCATTTCCATACATCCCTATCTGTCTACCCATAAATTCACATGTATAAATACACTCGATTGATATAAATCTAATTTTACATGATAACTATTATTATTATATATGTCTTAAACTAACAACCATATATATTGAACACTTTATTCAATAAACCAATGTTTTATTATTAACAACCAACAAATTTTTTTATACGAATTTTTACAATAGAGATGACAGGCAAACTTACACCAGGCAAAACTAATTCTTCAAAGACCATCCATAAATTTCCAAGTCATAAAATTATTATTTACGACTCATTTGGATTCTATATCTATTGTTTTAGTGTAGATACTAGATACAAAATTATTTACCTCTAACAAAAATTATTATAATTTATCAGGAGCCTTCATGGATGGTTCCGAACTAAATGCTATTTCAGAAAGCTAACAGAATAATTGATATGTTAGTTTATCAAATTAACTGCTATTTTAACTAATTAAGCTATGTTTGGCGTAATAGTTGAAAAACTAGCTAATAGCTGAAAAGTTAGCTGTTAAATAAAAATCTAACTGATAGCTGAAAAAGTAACTGACAAAAAATAACGTTTGGTAAAACTAGCTGAAATATATAAAATTACATAAAATGATATTTAAGAGTTTGTTTCTATAATTAATTAGGGGATATATTTGGAAATTTTTAAAAAGATCTTAAAAAGCTACTCTAAGTAGTTTTTAAAAAAACTAGCTTATAAACTACTTTTTGTGTTGTCAAACACAACAATTAAAAAAAAATAAGTTTATCAATTAGTTGTGGTGCGCCAAAAACAAACTTAACCAATTAACCTTCTACTTTTACAATACTTTTCAAAACTAAAAATAATATTATCATAGGTCTTGAAAATAAGGATAACCATTCGACATAATGATACTCAATTCATCATGATTGATATTTAATTTTTTTTAATTGGACCATTTGTTTCTCTTAAGAATGAAATTTTAAAATGAATCGATAAATTGTGAATTTAAGTCAATAGTGACAATTTTTATTTCTTAATAAAAAACAACTTGATATATATTTAAAAGCAAGTAATCACCAGCTTAGCTGGTTGTGATGCATCCTGAGTTATAGGATTCGATTCTTCGTTCATTTTGGTGGTGTGTGGTGGCTCTCTTGGTGTCCCGCCAGGCATTCCTAATTCATCGGGTCAGGTTACCCTCTATCTATTTGCTGGTTAAAAAAAACAAAAAAAAAAGATATATATTTAAAAATAAGAAACTACAATCATTAATAAATTAAGAATTGTATTTATTAATTAAAACTAACTATTGAAAATTATGATTGATAATTCCTAATACATAATAATATACTATTAACTTAACTTTTTACATATATTGTCTAACTATAAAAAACCAAATATATTTTACCAGGTTTTGGTTAACCAATATATATTAACGATTTTGTTAACCAAACCTCTATGAAAAAAGTAAATAACCAACTTAGTTAACTTAGAAAATCAATATGGGTTATCTATTTTTGAATTACATTGTCTAGTTTTGTATATTTTAAGAAAATAAAATATATTTTCACTTTTTGTTAATATTTATTTTTCTATTCGTAAAATAATGATATTGAATACATTAATTCTTTTCTTTAAACGAGATTGACTAAAAAAAACACTCAATTTTAACACTGACATTCTATTTGATTTTTAAAAAAATTTTATTGGTTGTAATTGATTTGTTTTCGGAAAAAAACTAGTTATAAGTAGTTATACGTTGACTTTTGATAAATATGTTAATGGATTGTGTAAGGTTGAAGGGTATGGTGACACAAGAACCACATCTTCTCCTCTGTCATGTTGACGCCACATGTGCATTAGCTGTGTGCAGCCAAACAACACTTGAAACCGTAGGGTGGGGGAGATGTTCCTACCAAGTAAGGTGGTAAACTCCACCCACACCCTTAAGTCTAAGGAATGCTAATTTAGCAGTACATTTTTAAACGTTTATCTTGATTGAGTGTTGATAAATAGACACCTTGTGAACATTTTTTATTAAAATTCAACATGAGTCTAATTTTTTCATAAAATAATAAAATTTCAACCAATAAAAATAATTAAACAATTAATCAAGATGTCTATATTATAACATAATCCTTTGAAACTGGTTTTTATCTAATAAATAGAAAATTAAATAAAAATAAAAAGATACTCCATTTGATTTCTCGTATTTTAAACAACCATTCAACATACGAATTTGTATTAGTGAGGTTTTTGTGATGTCATGTTTTGACAATGAAAAGTAGTAGGCATCTATATGTTGTTGACCACAGAGTGCCAGAAACACCACTTAAATGCACTAGGAATGGAATTTATAACACATTTACTTTGAAAAGACAGTTGAGATTCCTAGCAACTTCTCAATAAAATATGTTTTCCATCACTTATACCTTATGCATTACGAGATGTACAATTAACTTACTAATCGAAACTAAGCAACAAGAAACAAAACCCCAAGGACTAATTATTCTCTCTCTCATTACAATAAAAAAACTTCGAATCGAACCAAACAAATAAAATATTAACTTATGAAATCCATATTTCTTTTAATTTTAAAACTCTCCAAAATCTATCTCTGGAATAATAAATTAAGCTAAAATTGATTACTAGCTGCAAAAATTATAGTCAACGCTTCTACAATCCGGTCAACGGCTCGTCGATGTTGTATGTGTTCATCCAATGTTCTTCAATGTTCAAGTCATCAAAATAATCACAAGGTAAAGTTGTAGAATCTTTATCATCATACCCATAAATAGGAATATCTTCAAAACAATCAATTGGTGTAAGGATTTCTCCAAGAAAATGTGCCTCGATATCCAAATCTTTTCCGATGTCAGCCAATAACATTGCTTCATCAAAGGGTTCAGTGAACAACTCCATCTCCAATGGCTTCACATTGAAATGATCTTCATCAATGGTGGTTGTAGTGGTGGCTAACGTTTCAATCTCTTTAACATTGTTTTTAATGGTTTTGGAAGGAGAGGAAGATTCCACTTCAAGAACAGAAGAAGGTGATGCATGTGGTGTAGCACCACCGGAATCTTCGGAAACCGACTGTTTTTGATGATCGGAAGGGATGACAATCAATGGTTTCTTGTTTTTTTCGTTGTTGTTTTGATTTTGGATCTTTAAAGCTTCTGCCATTGTTTCAAACTCGAGCTTTTTGATTTCATAAGCTTTTGAAGCTTCCTCTGCGGTGTTGTAAGTACCAAGCCAGACTCGCCGGCCCTTGAACGGATCCCGGATCTCCGCCGCCCACTTCCCCCATTTCCGTTGCCGGACACCTCTGTATTTCAAACCGGAGGTGATCTGGGGTTGACTTGGGGTTTTGGTCAAAACCCTTTTCCCTTTTAACGAAGCTCCTTCACCATTGCTGTTGTTGTTGCTACCATGACAAGATCCTTCAGTCACCGGAGATTTCATTTCACCACCAGCAGTCGCAGTCGCAGTCGCAGTCACCGGAATCTTGATTTCCCGAACAATAGCTTTAGACCCGTAGAGTTTTTTGTTAGGCTCTTCTTCATCATCGGAAGAATCAGTCATGTAAGGATCGTGACATATGATCCGAATAGTTCTCATCGGATTGTTGTTATTTTGTTCGATTATCTTTCCTTTCTTTCTGGGTTTCTTGTTGCAAACATTCTCTTGCTTTCTAATATCCGCCATTTCCACCAATTTCTTTAGAAAAATCTCCAATAAAAATAGAAAAGCAAAAGAACAAAAAACGAAAATTCTCTTTTAACAAAAAATTTGATTTTTGATTGTGTAAACAGGTCGTCTCAGGTACAGGAAAAGACTAATGGCTCTCCTCTGTATATGAAAACAACCAAAACACACTACACCAGAACAAGTCCTGCAAAAAAGACACAAATATCGAAATCTGTCAGACAAAAACATGAAAAGTAAACGGATTTGTAAATCCGAATTAAAGGATTTTGTGTACCTTTTTGGTCTCAAACGCATCGAAACTGTTGAAAAACAGAGGTGAAAACTCTGCTGAATTATACAGCAGAGAGTAAAACAGATTAACAGAGCAAAAGTATCAACCCAGAGCTTCACCGGAGCCCCAATCCCAGCCAATGAACTTGCCGACATAAAATCAGCTATGTTTCCCAATTTTTCTCTACTAAACAACTCTCTATAACCCGATTTCAACTACAAAATCGGTAGATATCAGATCAGATACATGATTCATATAAAAAAGCCTAATTAAATCAAAAATTCTCTTCTCCGAATCCTGTAGAAAGAGAAACGACCATGAATCCATGGAAAAAATTTCCCTTTAAAGATGATTCGGAATCCCAAGTGTAAAAAAAAAAACGTTTGTTTTGAAGGAATTTCAAAAAACTCCGACTTAATCACAACAATGGAAGAACATTCAACACGACTAAAAGTCTAGAAAAAACTCAACAACCGACTTAAAAACGTAAAATTGAAGAACCCTAAATCAAAACGAGAAGAAAGATGAACTTAAATGGTTTACCTTTTCAGTCCTCACTCCCGAATTCCCACCCCCAAATTGTGATGATTTCTTCTTCTTTCTCAATGGACTTCTTCTTTCACTGTTACTGACTCCGTATTTCAAGCAGTCAAAACGCAAATGTTGGGTGGGTATATATGGATGCCTTTTTATTTATTTAGAATTAAATGAAAAATAATGGAAAGTAAATAATGTTTGGAATACTTTTGAAATATTTGTTAGATTTATCAGTAATTCTATTTGGGGTATGAATGTATGATGAGCTGTCATGGCCATACATCATGCATGATTTACACCATCCATGGTCATGCATATCATGCCACTTTTTGGCCGCCATTAGACCAAGAGATTATCGAGTAAACGCGTAAAGTCATAAACGTGTATTACACGCGCTGTTTGGTCTCCAGTATTGCGACAAATTCGACGAATCCTTTGACCACAATTTTGGCTTAGTATGCACGCGCGGAGTGTGAAGTTGGTAAATGGACTGAGCGTTTTATTTTGTTTTTTGTTAAGGAGGTTAGAGGTAACGCAGCGAACCGGAGACGTCGATGACAGCTAATATAATCTTGTGTCGGTTTTAGGTTCCATATGTGTTTGATATTACGAGAATGCCACGAAATATCTTGGCTACCGAAACTACCCTTGTTAAAAAGGAAATTGTTCTTTTTAGGGAGGAATTTGTTTCTGATAGCATTTTCCATTTATTATAGTAGGGAATGAATTTCTTGCTTTTTTTCGTAATATTTAGTTAATTATTAGCTAAGATTTATCATATCTTAGTTGGAGTATTAAATTGTTTACCATTAATGAAATGATTTTGTTTATTCTTAGAACATGTTAAATCATAAATATATACTTGTCAAATTTTGGATATGATATAGCTTTTACAAGGAACTATATATTTAAAATATTTAAAAGTTACATTCGAATACTCGGATTTATCGTTTCACATGTAATCAAATACTCAGATGGTATTAGTCAACTAAAAAAATTATAGTGTGATTATCAAGACTCAACTTTAATCGTTTAGTTTATTCAAAATCTCAAATATGATAAACTGATATGATTTATTTATATTCTAGAGAACATTACATTATATTTTGAACATTGATGACATATGTTGAATCTGAAAGACTTCCCTAGTCCGACCTCCGCATAAAGGCGACCCAGGTGATCCGTATTGAGAGCCCGAACGAGTTAGATGATTTGCTCATCTCTGACAGCAGTTAGGATCGACGTGTAAAATCAGATTATAACGTCCTAAAAATTTAGAGTAAATTTTTTTTATTTTTAAAACAATAACCCATACACATAAGTTGTTCTAAAACCAATCAAAGTGATTACATCATGTAAACCTCGGAGTAAAATATCATAAGTAGCTAAGGGGATGCAGATGTCGGGCCCTTTCCTTTAGAACCATAGATACTTGAAATCATAACCATAAAACCATAGATACAAAGCTTAGTGAGTTCTCCAAAATACAACATAACATACATACAATAGATATTATTATGTGTTATCTATAGTCTTACAATTGTCATTATGTCATGATCCGTATCATGGTCTTTCCTTACCAAGCGGGGGGTCAAAACACGGGTCTTACAAATAAGTGTCAAGAGCCACTTCCTGATCTTTTGTGCAAGTATAACAAAAGACAACTAGCATACTACATATAACTGCCAATGTCCAAACCCTGGTCTTGCATATAATTTGTTGTGATCCATGTCCAGGTCTTTCATGTAATTATTAAGTACCACCACCGGGTCTTTCTACATAACATAACCCAGTGGTTCGGCATTGATGCCTTCGACCCACAAGTATGGTGAGGAGACTCACCTGAATCACAAAGTCGACTAAAACCCAACTCAATGTTACGCCGACCATAGCTAATGGCTCTCACCGCCAAAAGATGAGTGTTAAACACCTCCTAACAATCCACACAAGGCAAACCCTAAGTCTACCTTCTAAAAATAGAAATTTGATCAAAAGTCAACACATGCCAAAATTTAACGGCCAAAGTTGACTTTAGTCAAACGCTTCATCGTGGCCTTTCTTGGCCACGTCGTGGCCCTCATACATCCATACATGTGGGAAATTCCTAGTCGCCATGTTGTAAGCATTGGGTTTCCAGCAGCTTAATGGATTAAGTCGCTTTCCTCGATTCCAGGAGCTCTAAAGCTCAAATCTGGTCCATTCTATGGTCTAAATAGATAAAGTTTTCAAATTTATCTATCAATACACCCAAGGAGATCAAGATCTCTAACTCTAAGTCCAAATAAAGCCAAATACCATCATATCTTACCCATTAATCCCTTAATCTGAAAATTCCTTAACCCAACCACTCCATAAGGGTTTTCTAATACCAGATACATCATAAATATGAAAGCTTTATAGACATTTATGTCCAATACATGTCTAGAATCGATTTTAGGTAAAAATGAGCTCTAAAGATCAAAACTCAAGCAAATGATAAGAACTTATACTAAAGACTAGATATACAACATATGATACTCTTGGGACTCAGGAGAGTCATAAAGTTGCCAACTTTATTAGTTCCTTCCTGCTAAACTTACTCAAACATGAAGAACATGGCATAATATTCAAGATCTAACCACTTTAAGCCAAAAAGCAAGGAACTTGGACATTTACAAAGGTCTAGAGATGCCAAAAAGTGATCTGCACTTTAGCCAAGAAGCACCATAATTCTTTCTAATGCCTCTTATTTCTTCACAAGCAACCAAAGTCACCAAAATGGACTCACTACTCACAAGAAGGAATAAAGGTTAGGGTTTCTGAAACTTGAGGGTGATGGAGGCTGATAAGGAGCCCTAAAAATAACTTAAAATGAGTTTAAATATGAAGGGAGTCTTAAAAGGTACATGGTCTTGGGCCAAAATAGTTGCCACGCCGTAGCGATCTAATAAAATAAATGATCCATTAAAATTACCACATCGTGGGCATCCTTGCGCCACGTCATGACACATAATTTCCTCCAAAGCTTCATTTTTGGTCCCTGATAAAACTAAGCTTACGGGGGGTTTTATATAGGCAATCCGCCTATAATGGACAATGAGATAAATATCCAATTCATTCATTCACTTCCAATCTCTAATTTGTCTAGCTTTCTTTCAATATCACGCTACTAGATACTTACTCTTACACCGGAGAGGTTTCCAGGACCCCCCCCCCCCCCCGAATCGGTCTAACCCTTCTTTTTGTTAGCACATGTTGTGGAAGCCAGATTAGCTTCCTCTCTAACTCCTCAAAATAAGAGTTGGGAACAACATTTGGCGTCATCCGTTGGACGTCTTACTACAAGCCATGAATGGATCCGAAGTCACTCCACAATAAACTAGCCCAGTAAGATAGATGAAAACCCTTGAATCCGAAAGTACACCCCCGCCTGTCCAAGAAACCTGAACGAACAATACCTTAAAAAAGAAAAACTAGAACTTGAGTCATTCCAGAGGAATCTGCGGAGAAAAGAAGAAAAAATAACCTTGAAAGGAGAGGAAGGCGAGCGCGTATATGAGCACATTACGGATACCGATACATCAGATGAAGAAATAGAATGATCTTGTGAAAAGGAAAGAAAATCAATGAAGAGCAAGATGACAACCAAGAAAAACCATATCCGAAGGCATTTGTCAGATGAAGAATTCCTAGAATATCACAAAGAGTTCACATTCTTGAACTTTAGATCACCGTTTACATACGAAATAAACCAAACCCATGTCCCAAGAAAGCTGAAGAGAGCGATCTTAGGCAGATACAATGGCACGACGGATCCCGATGATCATGTGTCCAACTTCACATTGGCAATACGGACCATACCAATGAACCGGAATCTCTAGTGCATATTCTTAAAAAGATTACTTGACAGGTCAACGAGGTGTTGGTTAGAAATCTTACCACCCAAAAGCATGTGAGCTACAAATATATATGCAAGAAATTTACTACTCGCTTCATCCAAAAAATACAAATCCAAAAAGAAGCATAATCCATATTTGCATGTTGACAACTAGAAGACGAATCCAATGCAACATACTTAGAAAGATTTACGGAAGCATCCACGCATGTCCCTACCGGAGATAAGCCAATGATCAAATTGAATTTTACGTATGGGCTGAAAAATGGACCTTTGCTCAGAAAACTCTAGGGAAGAGAATTTAAGAATGTAACGCCCACAGATTTGGGCTAGTCAGTTTGAGACAATAAGCGTCAAAATATTATTTAGAATAAATAATCTTAACTAAGTTATAGTATATGTCACAAGGATTTCGTACATATAAAAAACACTAAAATCCGAGTTACAACAAAGAAGTTATGACTAGTCGAAGTTTCGCAACAAAAACGACACGACACCACGAATCGTAAAACGTGAGTTTACGATAAATTACTTTTTAGCCTGGTTGGTCTAAATAAAAGTTTTATAGTACGTCTCCACCTACACATGGATATAAAGAAAGTCCAAAATGGAGATCATATGCAAAAGTTATGACCTTCTGAAGATACAACTGTCTGAGAGCATGACACGTGTGAGAAACACTAATCTGACTGGGCTCACGATGTGAGCATGTTTTCTCATGACATGAGTAATCAAATAGACACTAATTGAGGCTAGAAAACACATGGGAAGGCTATGGGATGACTCTTGGAAGCTCACAATGTGAGCATATCATTCTCACGATGTGAGAGGTCATCCGGACACCTTTCGGAGCTATGAACGCAAATAGCGAAGCTACGAGGTGACACATCCATGGATCACGATGTGAGCATGTGTGGCTCACGAAGTAAGAGACCAAAAATCATACTATAAATAGCAAGTTCAACCCTTTCTCTTCTTACACTTCAAACTTCTCTCTCTCTTACTCTCTTTCTCTCTCTCTCTCTCTCTCTCTCTCTCTCGTTTGCTGAAGGCGTTTTGTATCCCGAGCTCGTTGATCATGAACTGGTGACCATTTCTAGTTAGATTATATCCAATCACACTACTAATGTGAGTGTATATTTACTTTCATCTTACACATAAATATGAAGTATTTTATATAAATTATGTGTTATGTGTGCATCTTATCTGTTTACCAGATATCTATGATAGATGAACAAAATGTATATGTTTTATTAAATTTAAACTATATATGTATTTTATACCTATAAATTACAATGTGTAAAGATGGGTAGATGAAAGATAATATAGATCATGAGAAATGAAAGATGAGGATGAGAGGTGAAAAATGATGAGCAACCTTGACCCAAGTCTTGGCCCCGTCATCTAGCAGAGTATGGATGACAACCATAGACTATTCTAGATGGTCTGGTGGAACACTAGCAGGA